AAAAACAGTACAAAGATGTAACATAAAACCCAGGTCATGGCTTTATCAAGCACATGCAGGATATCACAAAGGAACAATAAAGAACAATTTTAATTTAAAAAAAGCAAAAATTATTTTCTAAAACTTAAAGCACAAAAAAATAACTTAACAAAAACAAAAACTCTCTCCACACTATTATCAAAACTTACATGATCTGTGTGCATTTCCCATATATGCGCATGATAATGTCATATCATTCCCATATATGGCAGTGATGTCATATCATACCCATATATGGCATTAATAAGGTACTATCATGCCCATATATGGGCAAATCACATAAATGTCTCATAAAATGTGATAGTGAGGATAGAGCTTTAGAGAAAAAGGCTAGCAATATGTGCATGATGATGTCATATCATGCCCATATATGGGGTTATGAGGTATTATCATGCCCATATATGGGTAAATCACATGAATATATCTCATAAAATTTCAAAGTGAGGATAGAGCTTTATATAAAAAGGCTAGAAATACGTGCATGATGATGCCATATCATGCCCATATATGGCAATTATGAGCCATTATCATTCCCATATATGGGTAAATCACATGTGTGAATGTCTCATAAAATCTGATAGTGTATATAGAACTTTATAGAAAATGGCTAGAAATATATATAAATTATGATAATATTATTGTTTTTGTATCATAAAGAGGATACTACTGAGATGCTCTAGGCACTTTACAAAGAAAATAAAGCAAGTAATAATTTGGTAGAGGCTAACACCAGCACAGCTTGCTATCACCTTCTGATTAAAGTGCTCTGATAATAAGTTAACTGTAAATGCTGTAACTAGTCCAATAGTACAGTACTGCATTACTCAACAATCAAGAAAAATAATGACCAATCCTTGTTTTACATGGCTATTTTTTGTTTCAATATTAATAAAAAGTATTAATATTTGTTATTTGTAAATTAATTTCTCCCCAACTTTGGTGGAATCTTAGAAAAATGTGATCATTAGTTTTTACAGGCATCTGTGTCAGCCAATGGGAGTACCAGCATCACAACACCACCTGTAAATTATGTCCTACTTGGCTTCTGCTCTCATATTGCTGGACAATCATGTCTGCATTGGTTCCTGTTATTCTTAATTGCTTCATATTTCTTTTAGGATAAAGTAGTTTAGTTTTCAAATTTTAGTTTTCCATAATTGTTTTCTACAAATTTTATTTAAGCTTTTAAAAAAATTCCATATTAAGTCCATGATAACTATTAGGCCTACCACTACCGTAAGCACATTTTAGTTTAAAAATTCTACCTTGATCAATAATAAGATTAAATTGTGTGTACAACGCAAGGTGCGAGTTTCAACAAGAAATCCATTCAAAAGTAGTTATTTAAATGTTCTGAAAAACAAAATAGATCTTCAGTATGATTTCCATCCAATACAAACAATCTGCATCACTCAACAGATGTAACAGCGGGCAGGAATATAATCGTGTTTGAGTTGGGATTCGGGCGTTAAATTCCTACATAATGGGCAACAATCCATGAACAAACAAACAGCCACTTGCAGTAAGCTTCAAGGGTTTGCCAAACTTAAGGTTTGAATGTTGGACATAAAATCCAACTTCAATAAGCCGTTAAAAATTCACTGCCAGACAATTTTACAAGTGCCAGATTCTATACTGTGTAGTATGCTTAGATATTATAAAGGTAAATTGCAAATATTTTGGTTTTTGACAAATTGGGAGAATGAATCTTGAAAAGGAAGATTTATGTGGTTCTGGTTCATCATTATAAATTCCCTCTCTTTGCAATCTTGTGCCAATGAGTTCACAATACAACTTCTTTTCTATAATTATGTATATAGGCGAACAAGTTTTGCTATCAATTGGTTTATCATGAATATTTCCATATTATTTTAGAAATTTAGATTTATTTTGTTTGTTTCTGAGGCTCAAAGATGAAAAAGTCCTCAAAGTAAATTATGTATCTACACGTTTTTGAACAAAATTTCTCTATCTATCCATAAAAAAGTTTATTTCTACCTACCAAATGTTGAAATTTCTTTATGCTATGAATAAAATAAATCCATATGCAACAGTAATTTAGTTACACTTTTTCTATGAATATAATCAATTCATTTCCAAAAGTACTTTACCTTCAGTTACATTTTCTCTGTGCTTATATGAAATTAATCTATTTCAAAAAGTACTTTATTTTCAGTTAAATTTTCTCTATGCTTAATATAAGATCAATTCAATTGCAATGGTACATTTTTCTATTCTACTTTGATAAAATGAATGAAATCCATCCATTCCCCAGTGGGTATGTGTTTGATCTTGACAGGTTCTGGTCAACCAATTTAAAGAAGGAAAGAAATAATAAAAAATATGAAAAAACAACAAGTAGGTAAACTAATAACCTATTGCAATATTTGATGATGCCCCATGGGTGAAGAAATGTAACCATTATTAGATATGAATTTAGATATGCAAAAGAATAAATTTAGTATAATGAAAGCAGACGTCGTGTGGGCAGATGTTACTTCTTTTGTATCGGCTACAGCTGTCGTTGACCTACATCTTGCGGAGAAGTCAATTTAAAACCGGTTTAGTCCTCCGCAATATTCATGTCAATCTAAAAGGCGCAATTCAGCTGATCTCTGCATCTTCTCGTAGTATGTATCTCAGCCTGGATAATGTAGCGGGATTCGTTTACATCTTATTCAATGGATCGTTTTTATATCCGCAATGATTCAAAGATGACAGTGTATTTCCTCGTAAACATTAACCTTCATAGTCTTTTACATCAGAATATACATCCAGTTCGTCTAGCGTGAATGATGACAACGATGGTGTTCTTAAGTAGGGCACTATAATCAACAACTTGTCCTCATGATATTTAAACTATTGCTTTAGACTTTAATTACTTTGACATATTCATGAAAATCATTAGTGCTAAATATTTTGCAATTACTACTTGACTCATTGATAACAATCTACGCTACTGAGATTCAAGCAGGGTATAAACTTGTGAACTCAGAAATTATCACCATAAATGAAATATTATAATAATATACTGTATAACGATTGTGACTTCTGACTTCAGTTATGACGCCCATGACATTTGAACTGATTAAATAGATTTCAGTTTTAGAAAAATATTTCCCTCATAAAATCTAAATCCCTGATTACCACACAAAATAGTTTTCAACTTCACTTATTTGTTAATTTATTAAGCACCCTTTGTTTTTGAATATGGATCACTGTTTTACCAGGGTCATAGGTCCACATGAAAATGTATTGCTGCTATAATCTACACAGGAATAGGCAACACCACCACATACCCATTCATATACTCCTGGGTGAAGAGAAGAAATGCAGACAAAATACCTGCTCTTTTCATATCCATAAACTAACAGACAATAAACTTCTAACAAGAATTGTATCAATGCACTATGTCTCGTAGTTTCACCTGTTCACTGTTTTTGTTGCAGTTATTGTTTTTTTTTTTTACGTTATTCATTTCTGACACTTTTCCACAACCTTAGTACCAGCAGTAGTACCAGCAGATGTCTAGAGTATCTTTAGGGCAGAACTACATTTGCTTAGCAACAGACAAAGCATTCTTTAAACTTAGTCAAAAGATCTAGTAGCATTTGTTTTGTTTACTGCAATTGTGATGTTAACAGCAAAGACAAAAACATAATCATCAGGTTGGAGGATTGGGACTGTTTGAGAAATGAGATAAATACACCTAATCATGGGGAAACTTCTTTCTCTATAGCTTAAACTTAAGTCCCTTATTGTAGCAAGTTCTCTTTGTACCTGTAGTAGAAGTCAACAGTGCTATAGTGTAGGTAATTACTAGGATGCATGTTAGGTAGGTAAACCAGTTAAAATTAAACTGATGTAAAATAGAGGGGTAAATAATTAGAAAGTAATTTAAAATCTATTATTAACCAAGTACTTTGTATACCACCAGGGGTGGCATTGATTAAACTATGCCTAGAAAATTTTGATCTGGGTCTAAATCATGCTTTATCTAACCACTTATCAATGAATAGTGCTATAGTATTGTATTTACAATTTTACGTAACTCAATAAAATCAAGTAAAATTCTTAGTGCTGTTTATTTCAGTAAAATAATCACTGCCAAACATGAATGAACATGAATGTCTTAGAAGAAACACATATATAGTTCTGATGTGTCCATATACTATATATAGTCATGATGTGATGTCATCATGACCATATTTAGGCATGCCGTCACATGTTTTTTTGTCCAATAAAATTGATAGTCTGGACAGGGTTTTAGCTACAGGAGTGCATTTGATAGAATGTATTAATGATATTAATAGTATTAATATTATTATTAATGTACCATATCCTTTTTTAAACAATTAAAACCAAATCAAAATTAAAAAACCGATGAATAACATAATCCTTTTTAAGTTTTATACAGACTCAAAGACAATCTCAAGAGAGATATTTTAATTTATTAGTTGTTCTAATCAATTAGTATTAATACAATGCAATTCCTTTTAAGGTTTTTATTTTATTATTTTAAATTTTTAACAAAACTAAATACTTATATCTAGACTGAAAGACTTCAGGAGACAAATTTGTCAGTGACCGAATTACTATTTTAATAGATGCAGATTGTCTCAGTTGACATAAAATTCTTGCAAGGTTAAAAGCTACCTGATTTAAGTTGCCAGACCTGAATGCTAGCTATGCATGCCCAAGAGAGTAACGATTTTAATGTGCTACCGCCAAGCTACAGTTATGCCCTAAACTAGATCGCTACAGATCAACCAGATGGTTTTGAGCTATCACTTTTGTCGTACATATAAACATACAAGCTACACACAGCACAGATAAGGAAGATACTAGCAAGAGCAGCCAGCTCTCCTTTCAGCCAATCAGAACACATCTTGGAACGCATACTATCACACTGCTACGTTCTGCTTGAGTGATTTTCAATTACAAGAAAACCTCCCTACTGTACAATAGGCAGGGTGATACACAAAAGCATTCAGTAAGCCCACACAGGCTAGCATAAAAGCAGTGATCAGCGAAGCTTCAAGTCCACTTTTCTTCTAACTTCCCTAGGATTACCTACACAAGCCTTTGGAGGAAAAAAACAGCTATTCTGAAATTAAGTTGGACAAGATATCAATCATTGCCATTGGACGGTGAACTTAAGCACCAAGCATGGCGATAAATGTACAATTGCTGTTGTTACTTGGTCTCGTTTTTATGTCAACTTTTTGCATTGTGAAGTCATGTACTTGTTTACCAGCCCATCCACAGGATCATTTTTGCAAATCTAATTTTGGTAGGTTTATATGGAACATGACAGCAGTTCAGGGTCTCTTCATGTTGATATAATTATGTCTTCATTCTTCTGCAAGGTATAAGCAGGTATAAGTAAGAATGTAGTAGTGGTGTTGAAATTGTATGCATAGGCCTACTGTATAGTATACTATAGTAGGCCTACCACTGAATATTCTATTTAGTTTGTATATTGTGTTAAATTGTATAGAAAATTATTATTAATTATTATTTCTTAATTTTTTATTAACATTAAATTTATGAATATGAACCTTCTTAATCTTTTTGGTAATATAGAATTTATCCTAGTAGTAGTATCATGCCAACCGTGGGGATAAAACATTGGAAATAAAAAAAGTAATCAAACAAAATTATTATCAAAAAATAACAATAAATATTATTATGAATATTGTAATACTTTATTCATTAATTTTAATTATTATTTATTGTATGGGCCACAGTATATAAAACAGACTGATGTCATAGAGTTAACTGAAACATTTCTTTTGTGATGTTAGATATTAATGTTTGAATTATGGTATACTATTTAAATGTCATGAAATACTTATATTTAAAAGATATTACAGTATATTTATATAACATTAATCATTTCAAATTATGAATCTTCCAGTATTGATGTACATTTATAAATATTCACAATCGCACTGCCTCCATAGGGGGTAGTAGCCTCTAATTACAGCCTGTTATTACAGCAACTATAACACATCATATTTTTTCATGGTCAGGTACCATTAGATACATGAAATGTATGCTGCCTATCGGTGTGTGAATTAATAACTCTAGGGCACCTCTTCCTTCTGTTGACAGATCAGAACTTTAAATGAATCTTATTTTTAGCTAGAAATCCTTACTGACAGGCAAATCATAGTTGAAATACCTTTTTTTTTTTCGGTTTGAGACTATCATAAAGACCAACTATTTATATACTATTATTCAGCTAAGGTAAACACTGTTGTGTGTTATATTTACAGTGTATACACATACACAGTAGGAAAATCTTTGGTAAGGATCTTCGCGTGAGTCTAAACACACGCTTGCACCCTTGTGTAAAAGCGTCTAGAGGATTATAAGCTCTCATAAAAGGAATTGAAATTGCGCTCGCTTATAAAAAACGTGTTTTCAAAAAATTTTATGAAAGAATAGTTTTAAAAACAACTGCTACGTTTTAGTGATAAAGCATAATCAAATCTATATTTAATATATTAATGGGTAATTTTTTTTGGGGTGGGGGGGAACTTTCGATTGGCGCTGAAAATCATTTCCGTCTCTATTATTCCATATTAGCTCTGCATAATCAAAGGTGGACTTCGGTCGTCGACAACACACGCGACCATTGCTGCACTATCTCTCAAATACTTGTTGATGTTTACATAATATACTAGATAAATATCATAGGCCTACTAAATGAGACCAGCAGGTGTTTTTAAATTACACAATGCAATTTCCTGGCTGGTAGGAACACAAGTCTGCTTGAAAGTAAAAATTAGCACACTTACAAAGGCTGAGAAATGATTTTTGATTGGACACTTAACTTATAAAAGCCCTTATAATTTTTCAATTAAGTAAAGAGTCAGAATTTAATAAGGATTTTCTAAAATCCTGAAATTTAATATTCAATACGTCATCATACCGTATGGTATTGTATTTTGCATGGGAAAAAATGGTATCTTTTACATAAATGAATTGTACTACAAACTAATCCATTCGTATTCAATACGATAATACAACTGGTGTTACACTACTAAAAGGGCTCTAGTTTTAATGTCAGCTATAGCATCTGAGACTGAAATACTCATCATTTATATAAATGCACATAATTTGAATGAATTGACTTTTTTCTCAAAGATTTAACTTTGTTGTTTGTCTACAGTTCATGATGATGGCACTTGATACCTGTAGGCAATAAGTGTAAAGAATGGCATAGTACTATTCGTAAGTCAGGGTCATATCAAATTCAAAATGTCTTTATTTAAAATCGTGTACGTATTAATAGTGCTTGACTAAGTTACAAAGACCAGCAGTTGACTCTGTCATTTTAAAAATAGACTTTTTTTTTTTACAAAATAAGGAAACACTTGTACATAGGAACTCATAAAATGGAGTGAATTCAGCCATTTATTTGCTTGGGGATCGCCAGGTGATGTCAAATTCCAACTGATTCTTACAAAATTCTGATCTAATAGTTTACATTACCCTCCAAATTTGCAAGAATAAACATTATGAAAACAATAAAAAAAAATTCCTCTAGCTTACAATGGAATGAATACAATGAATTTAGGAGCCCTAGTCCAAATGACCATAATGTTGAGACAGTAGTAGAAGTCCTTCATCACTCCTGTAACATATTATGTTATTAATATTGATACATTTTTCAATGTCAGTTATTGAATTACGATTGCTCAGTATGTAAAGCTAAGAAAAATGATGATTATTATTTTACACGCTGGATTTTATCCTGTCCAAGGTTGGACACGAATAAATCCATCATCCCTAACATCACTACTTAGAATTTATTGAACATGCTCAGAATTTTATAACCTTAAAAAAATAAATGCTTAATGATAGAATTTGTCAGCAAATACGATACACTCTATATTTAGAAATCCTATTCACATTGATTAAAGAATTTTAAATGTTGCAAGATAGCATCTAAAAAAAATTATTTTCTCCAGACTGCAAGGTAGACATTTAACTGTATAAAATTTGATCATGCACTAATGAGGAAATTTTGTTGAATAATTTTATTATGGTCTGCATTGGAATGCAGATTTCTTCCATTAGCCCCAAAGCAACAATTCTTCTACTGATATTGCAGAAATTTATACCAATATAATGAAACAGAGCAATAAATTTCACAAAGTCCTTGTTGGAGATGATCTCAAAGGAGGTGTTTTAAACAAAAACCATCAATAAATAAACTATCACTGGAATGCCCATTAAATAATAAATGCCTACACATTCTCCACTTAAATAGTGAACTAACTGTCTTGCGGTATTCCGCAGCATGTTTTTTGAACAGTAACAAAGGTTTCCTCTTTGGTAAAGATTTAAAAACAGATAACGCCCTTGTATGAGATATAAAGGTTAAGTTGTCTAAGCACAAAAACGAGGTGATAAACATCAAAAAGTACTTAAAGTTTTAACATATTTGCCGATAAAACAATTATCTCTGTATCTTCGGTTAGATCAAAGTTTTTAAGCATCTCTTTGAAAGTGCATATTTTACCTAATTTTTCATTCAGGTTTTTTTTTCACGAAATGAAACCACGTTAAATAGGCTAAAGTCATGTCATTGACTTGAGCTTGGGAAAAGTTCAATTATACACAGGGAGTCAAATATTTTGTTTTACATATGCATTTTAATTGCCTGCAAGACCTGTTGGGTTGACACATAACTGAAAACAGGACTCAAACTCCAATCAGGTCCTATAGTAAATTTATCAGTATGATGTAAATCATTTTCATGAGTATAAAATAAATTGAATATAAATCTTTGAAATTAACAAATTCTGCAGTACTGATGAAAGATTAAATGTTTTTGTGGTCAAATTTTGAAGAACCTAGAGGACATTCAGTTAAAAATTTCAGTTAAAAGAATCAAATGAGTAGGCCAAGTTATCAAATTACAATTAACTGGGGTAAACCAAGAGTTTTGTGTTTGATTTGTTTATTTAAAACAATCATAAATTATAGGTATAAAATAGACTGTAATAAAATAAGGGACAAAAACCTGCACTCAAGCACTCAATTCGTTTTTGAATTTAAAGTCATTTTGTAGTTGCCAACTTTTTCAGATATTGCTATAAAATGTTTTAAAAATATATTTTTAAAAAAATGAGAAGGCATCAAAAAATGCCTTACAATTATGTAGGCCTACATTTTTACATACAGCCTAATTATAGAAACATAAACATTGGATACTGTCTTCCATTTATAATAATGATGCTAATTAACTAAATCACAGTTGTAGGTTGAAAGGTTTAACAAACACTCAGTATACTGCCAAATATCTTTTGACATAATTATGGTTCCGTGTCCTCCATTCACAAATTAGTATTCCTCATGTAGTCTATTTAACAGGCTACATATTCATTTACTATCATTATGATACACAGAACCGACTTCTTGGGATCCGAGCTTAATTACCGCACTCTCAAATAACCGCAATTGATACAGAAAACAATCACTGGATGATAGTTTTCAATTTTCATTGATTTGGCATTTATAGTTGGAGGTTGTGTTATTGTTCTTCACATTATAATAGACATGTATCGATAACTTCTTTACTATACACTATCGGCCACTTACGTGAATGTTTTTAATTCGCAATGAGATATGATGTATCTTACGTATCCTCCTCTCCAGAGAAAAATAAAATTTTGATACGTTGTACAACTAATTTTTTTGTAAGACACAAAAAGCATATTTGATGAAAAAACTTGGAAACAGTTTATGAGATACAGATTCTTGAAAATTTAAAAACTGGGGGAAAAAGTGAAAAAAGGGGTGGTCACACTGCTATTTCCCCAGTTTTTTTTATACTTAATTATTTAAGAATTTTCTTTACATCACCTCACCTTCTGGTTAGTGGGCCCTCAAATTTCAGATTGTGACCCCATACCTCCAACCTCCTCACTATATAACACTCCTAGACACATCACTAAACCTATGTCTTATATTCAATGTAATTTTCATTCTAAATAATAGAGAAAGTGTTCTCACATTGAATTCATAAGGCAAACTACAGATATTCAAGTATGAGCAAAAGATGAAGATTATCTGAAGTCCTAATCATGCACGATACAAGATTTTTCTACGGGTCAACACATCAAGTACGGAATTAAATACAAGATAGTTTATGCCAATTTCACACCTATTAATGTGATTAATGTTTTTTTACAAGATTTTCTCTGACAGCAATTTATATGGAGATGAAGTATTTAAAGTGTATTTCAGTTTAGAGGATTTAAGTTATAATTTTGAAATTCTATACATAAATTTGCTCTGTACAGATAGAGTAGCTCAGAAAGACATACAAGATAGCAAATAAGAAACATAGAATTAAACTTTGATCCAGACATCCTGCTAAAGTGCTGTTTTTACTGTAAATTAATATTAATACACATGAAGCATTAATTGATACTGACATACTGTGTACAATGTTGGAATCAGACTAGAAACGAGCACTAAGCAATGTAGGTCTTTGAAAAGCGAGGGCATCGAATATTATCTCGCGAGCAAATCATTATAATATGATGAGCCTGATAGTATAGCATTCTAATAAACATCAATTTAGTAATAATTAGACCAGGATTTAAGAATTGATAATCTACCAAATGTGTAGTTTCCAAAGTTCATATAAAAAAGTGTAAACATTTTTAGGAAAAATTAACACTATAGTCATAAATATATGTACCAGTAACAGTTTTTAGGAACAACATTTTAGACCAATACTCTGCCCCTTAGTGAAGATTAATGAAAGTTTCCGCTACAACTCCACCATTTATTGTCACGTTACATATATTATATCTGTATCCAATCAGATTCTATTTTAAATCCCAGTCCAGAATATCACATTTCGACTGAAACTGTGATATGCCTAAATATGGCATGATGACATCACATCATGACCATATATAGGCATATCATGACTATATATGGGCATACAACAGTTTTTTGAGAGAACTTTAGAATGAAGAGCTTGTGAAATATTCTCACGTTAGTCTGGAAATTCACAAACAAAAGTACTGTACCACTTTGCTTTCACAAAATAGGCCTATATTATTTTTTGTAAAAAAAAAAAAAAAAAAAAAAACCACAATTCTTTTAGCTTCAATTTTTATTAAAAGGTTAACAGTTCCTGCACTGTTGGTACTGTTTTTTACAATGACTTTTCGCTTTACTGATTAAAACTTTTTTGTAAAAATGGGTCGGTTTTTAACAATAAAACTTGTGTTCGACAATCCGTGGGAAATTCTATCTGTAACAGATAGTGCAAAAGTATAATCTTTAAATTGATAGTGAATCTAAAAAAGGGAGTTAATGTCATTAGTAGTTAAGATCTTTTCCTTCAAAGTTTAAAAGTTTAACAGAGTTAATCGACCCCGTCAAATATTTCTAAAGTCACTTGTAAGCACCATAGCTAGGGCTGCCATGTTTTTATTCTTTAATTAACAAGTGGTAAAGCTAGTAGCATCAAAAAGTTTTTTGTCTAAATAAACTTCGAAATACGTATCTTTTGCCATCAAGCTCCCCCGGCAGGCACGTGCCTTCTTTTAGGGTTAAGCACAATACATAATCTTGAGTCAAATTCTGATCAAAACAAAATTTCTCGATATAGAACACAGACCAGTTAACAAACACTAAACACTAACAAATCTCTTAGCGAAAGTCAAAATATAAGAATTTAAGAGGATTTCTCTTGCGGAAGAGTATATCTGGAGTAAAAGGATCCAAGCCATTGGGGAATTTGTATTAGAGATTAATAGAAATGTATTTCTTATGAATATCAATTACCTCCTTTGTTTGTCTGAGTCTGAGCTGTCTGGGGCAGGTGGTCAGTTACGTTAAATGTTTTACTTGCTAATTCTGACAAAGAAACGCCATGAAAGACAAAGGCCTAAGAAGTCAATTATTATTTAGTGAAGCTGATGCGAGGAATTCAACAACTACCACTGCAGGATGATGTATGGAACGGTAATGAAGCGGTACAATTCCTGTCTACAATAAAGATTCGTTATGCTTGGGTTATGAAGGTTTTCATTAATAATTCGCAACCGATTGATTCTTTATTCAACAGGAAAGCACTTCAGTCTATTGTTATGTGAATATTTTACATATCACTTCCCTAATAGCTTCAAAATAAGTTATCAATAACAAAAGGATAATGAATTTTTAACTAGAAAATATCAACCTAAAATATTACTTTTCATTTTATTTTCCAGTTATCAGAGCAAGGGTAGTACCAAAGCACTCAACAAAAGTTGGGCATTCAATCTTCACAAAAAGACATAAAAACGATGTTGTGTTGCCAACATTGAGTGGTTTGGACAAGCCCTGTGATGAACCATTTAAACACTGGAAGATCCGCATTAAGAAAGTCTATAAAGGAGAGGAGTTTATTGCCACCGGCGCTGAGGTTAGCATTTACACGTCCATTTTCGACTCCCTCTGCGGTGTTACGACATTAGAAGAAGGCGAGGATTATTTATTTATGGGTAAGTTTAGCATGAAGATTTATGTGCAGTTTTTCAAACCATGACATTTAAATACAACTCACTTTTTTTCAAAACACTAGAGATTTTTGTAGGATTTCTTTTTGAGGTCTTTCAACAACTACATTCCATTTTAAATATATTTTCTTTTTATCAAAAACAATTGCTATGTGTCAAGTGGAAATGTTCCCATCTTATGTTTGAAATATTCCAGTATATACAGTAAAGTATTAGTTTAAAACAGACGTAGTTTCATGAGAAAAATTTGAAACCAAGATGTTTAAACAAAAGCTATATACAGCATATTTCAAGTTGAAACATGAGTTTAGTAAGGTTAAAGTTTAAAGAGATTATCATGCAATTTCAAACCACAGTTGGCTTCTAATTTAAACATAAAAGTTTCCAAAAAAAAAAATTTCAAAACTCAATACCTAAAAAATTCAAAAATGACATGAAAATTAGTAATACGTGCATTCACTCATTCATCTAATCCTTCCATCTATTCCTTTACGTTGTTAAGTTGTTTAGGAAGCAAAATGAAGTGAAACTGCTCTACACAAGTGAATTAAATTCAGATAATCATCAGTTTGCACAAGGCCGCGTGATGTTATCTTTCCAAGTATTTTACTACAACAGAACTACGGAAAAGCCTTAGACCAAAACTTTTTTTTTTAAATCATTCTTTGTTACTTCTTTCCACTGTATAGTAGACTTGTCTTTGTTCCTTAACTACTTTTCTACTCTCAAAGCATAGTTCCCTTACTTCTGTATCAAAAGCTAATGCCCCTCTCATAAATCTACAGCATCATTCTTTTTTTTTTTTATTAAATTCAATATGTTTCAGAAAGTCAAAAGATTTCAACAGAAATTCTTGAACAGAAATGTTTGACTACATCAATAAAACATCACTTGATGACAGCTTTGTCATGCTACGGTACTATGCTACAGTACTATACGTGTTTGTGTTCAGCACGCACTTAAAAAATGAAATACCTATTAATGAGCCCCAGCATGATATCACCAAAAACAAGCGTTAACACTTAAGAAGTAAATCAAAACATTAATGCTGGAAACCCTCACATGCTTGAGTTCATTAGGAACATTGTTCTGTCTTGTTCTAATTACAAGTTAATTGCATTTTTCTTGGGAAAACTACTATGAATAAATTATTTCATGTTTGAATAATGAAATTCAGATATTGATACGAAGAGAGAAATATTAGATTTACATCTCTGGAAATTTTACACCGCCAAATTTAAAATGCTCGTTGAATACATAATAATTTGAATTAATCTTAATGAATCATTATTATTATTGTAATTGTATCCTGGTATTGAATTAACAGGAAGTATACAGTACTGTGAATATTCCTTACATCTATGTTGTGCATTTAATTAAACAGCACATCGAGGCTGCATAAAGTAATGGACAATGCATGTAGGAAAACAACATATAGAATTAATGTGTTTGAATAATGAAATTCAGACATAGATACAAAGAGAAAAATTTTTGATTAGTACTGTATTCTGGAACTCCCAAACAATAGGTTAACACAATTGTCTGCAAGAACGTGTTATGTTATGAATTCAAATTGAACAATGCTTGGAGAGAACCTCTGTAAATAAGTAACTGTTTTTACAGAGTGAATTATCAAGTGCATTTATGAAACTTAAAAATATTAAAATAATAATAATTATAAAAAACATCAATAATACTATATACATATAGGAATTATATAACTTTTCTGCCTATTATTGTAGCAAGAGGCTAAATATTTTTTGATGAAAATTAACAGTACATTGCCTGATGAAGTGTGTTACACATAATATGTTGCAAGTTCTGTGTATCATTGTGATTTTCTTCTCCATTTATTTAAATAGTTAAAACGAAAATTTAGAAATACTGTACTACTAATTTGCAAACCAAATGAAACTATTCCAACATATAAAGGTTAAGCTTTTTTTTTTTGAACCACTGCTACTCAATTTTTAAATCAAAATAGACAGAATTGCTTTATTTTTCATTAAATTTAATTTTATCTCAGCACATAAAACAAACATTACCACACGACCTAAAAAGGAATGACCCTCATTAATATTAATCGACATGCCGAGAGAGACACATCGAGTCCTCTTTCTATAGACAAGTGTCATTTCGTAAATCGTTCACAAATTCCTTATCGTTTGCTTGGTATCACATTAGTCCAGTTTTCTATAGATTGCAATTGCCAAGAGCGTGGATATATTTGAGGAAAAGTCGTAACAGATAATGCAAATGGGCACTTAAAGACTGGGTAATGGCCTGTGCAAAAAGAACATGTATCTAAATAAGGAGATTAGTTTGTCTATGATGTGTAACCTTTGCTGAAAGCACAACACATTCAATGTTTATAATGTTGTAGTAGCGCCTGTGGCTTTCGTATGAGTTATATGTTCATATGTTCTGTTGAAATCAAACCTAGTTTCTCTCCTGATTAATGCTATTAGAGGTACTAGTTAAAATGTTGGTTAATTAATCTTAATAGTCCATAATGACATACAGAATATTGTATAAAACAAAATTTCCATTCTGAATTCAATGCCAAAGGTCATTAACATAATATATATTTAGGTATTACAGTTACCTACAACATACATTTTTCATGTAAATTTTCATGTAACTAAACTAAACTACCTAGGCACTGGCAATCTCTCCAAAAGAATCCCACAAGGGTTTCTGCACACTCCAGTACATTCATTGAACTCGTCCATGCGTGACAAGAGTTTATTTGGGCCACGTGCCTAGTGACAAAAGAGCATTAGGTCTCAATATTTGCCTTAGGAATTTGAATGGGGACAGTTCAGTTGGTGATAAACTTCAGTAAACACTCCTTGGCAAAAGCACGGAAGTAGATGATAGCAACAGAACAAAGAACATATTTGGAAATGGAATCTTTTAAAGTAGGCAAAGTAATGTATCAACCAATAACTTACCACTGCAGCCGCAATGAATTATATTATAGGGGTGGGTTATACAGATCTATACTTAATGTCCCCTTTGTTTTGTCTTTACCAACTTGGTTTTTTTTATACACTGTCAAAATTAGTCATGTTTTTCTTCAGGTACTGCCAAATCAAATTTCTTCTTTTAATAGAATGTTAATCATAGTTTTTAACTTATGATTTTGATTTCTATATCATAATTTACATTTTTTTACATTGTACACTTTCTATGATTTAAATAATGATACTCTAAACTAATTTTATACTATTTGTTATTCATTTTTGTAGGTATGCTTCAGGAAGGTCAACTTCGCTTCACAACTTGTAACTGGCATGCCAAATGGAGCACAATCACAAAGAAAATGCGAAAAGGACTTCGTTATCAGTACAAAAGCAACTGTAATTGCCAGGTAATTGTTTACATTTTCCCCAGTCCACCAAAAAATAAATTATTACAATTTTTTCATGCTCATGTTTCCCATTATTCATGGATTTTAGTTGTTTCCTCTTAAATACAAAATTGGATTAGTAACAAAATATGGATTAAATACTGTCTATTAACATTCGCCAGATGAGAAGGCATATGCACTATAATTCCATCAGGAATTCCATAAAGATTTTGGTAATAGTTTGATTTTTTAAAATGACAGTACAAATCCTAATTTCTGCAGAACAACAAATTATCTGTTCTATTTTTTTATACAACATTGATATTAGCATTATAAATAGATTAACGTATCAACAAAAATAACTTTTATGTGGCTCAAAATATTACAATCCATACAAATGTCTCGCTCCTAAGTTCTGAAATTGTGCAATCCATTAACACCCTATGTTTTGGGAATTAGCAACTTATTTGATTCGGACCTTGTGTTTGCAATGTTAAATGAGCGGTCATTAATACGATTTTATTGAATTTAAAATTAATCAATTTAATTCATTCATTTAAAAATTTTTTGTTTTCCTCTCTTCACAGATTTCAACTTGTGGATTATTTGATAAATGCAGCAAATGTTTACACACAAAAAAAGCCGATGGCGCGTGCGTATGGGATGCGTGGGAAGGCGACTGTGAAAGCAAATACTCAACCTGTATCATTCATGATGACGGAAGATGCGCATGGCACCGATCACCAGAACTCAGTAGGTGTCGGAAGAGCATTGAGAAGAAGGCTAAATAGCAGCATTGCAGGGCTTAATGTGTCAACCTTTATTTTACAATCCCTAACTTATTTAGCAAGCGTTCATTTTGCAAAATGTTTTTAAGACCCAGAATGCATTTAATACCAACAAGGAACACCAGTATTTTTAATAGTGTTGCATTATGTGTTGTTTTATATTCAATCACTGCTGTGAATTGTTTTCTAAAAGAAACCAATACCAACTAATTGGTTATAACATTAAAATGTTGACCATATCATAGTAACAACTGAGAATTCTAAAAGAAAAAATCACTTTGTGTATTATCTATAAGCAATGCCAGTTTATACAGAATGGTAATTTACAATAATTTCTATTTGTAAACATGTAAACAACAACAAATTGTAAACAAGTAAACAACAAATTTTAAGCATGTAAACAAATTATAGACATGTTAAAATATTATATAAACAACACATTTTCAACATGTAAACAACATATTGTAAACATGTAAACACATAGCAAACATGTGAACAATAAATTCTGTACAAAATACCAGATATTTAGGAGTTGATTTACAGATACAGTATTTTATTAGAAATTGTTTAGCAGAAGAATTTGTTATTTTGAGTTTGGTAAAATGTGTGCTATCTATCTACAATATATAAATATATAAATATAAATATATAAAAATTTATTACGATTATTCAAGAAATGTATAAAGAGACTGTTATGTGCAACAATGGGGTATTGGTAATTAAATATATGTTTGGGATTTATTTGGATCAATGACAAGAATTTTGTACTTTTGGTGACAAATTTGTGAACATTTACCGGACAAATTGCAGTTACTCTATAACAGGGTAGGTTTAAAAATATTGGAACAACATTTGATATGTTGGTAAATTTATTCACAAATGACTAGATTTCTTTGTTATACTGTTTCCATCTTGTATAAAATTAATGTATATAAGTGAAGTGTCAATCATTAAATCATCTTTTACATGCACAATGTTTGTCTTTCAGTTGTAACAATCATCAGCAAGTAACATAGGATGATATAGGAGTGAAATTCAAAAATATTTCAACTCAAATATAAAATATAAATTATGTAGCTAAGCACATATTTGTTGATTTGATGCTGCTACAATATGGTTTAATATTGTCTTGTGGGAGCGTAGTGGGGGGGGGGGGTGAAAGGTGGAGTGATTTTCCCCATATAAGATAATTGTAGGCTTTGAGGTATTTTCTAGATGTAATAACATAAATGTACTATTTCTCTTATACTTCTTGTTATAATTTATGTTTTTAAGTGTAAATAAATGCAACTGTACATACGAAAAATGTCTTTTCTTTTCTGATCTCATTTTTAAAGGTTTATAAATACAATATCTTATTCTATATTAGATCATGCTAATAATATAATAACAATAATATGTTAAACCTATATAGCACATCATGCCAACAAAGTCTCTAAGCACTTCACAATAATACCCCAGTCATTGGATCAAGCACATTCTCAGCACCCTGGGAGAGAATTTCATAATGTTGCAGTAATCATCGTTTGACCAACCAGGTACCCAGTTATACTTCTGGGTGGAAAGAGACAATCATAGATAAAGTGCTTGCCCAATGACACAAGCAAAATGCATATACTGTATTAATCAATAGGAGCAAAGCATATACTGCTGCAAGAATCAAACTAGTAATATTCGGTGTTCCAATGATCTGACAAATAAGCTAAACCGCCCTCGTTGGCAATGGTTTTCTATTCAGGAGAACTGCATGGGAATTAAAAAGAAAAATATTAATATTACTTATACCATCAAATAAGAGTGTCCTAGAAACACATTAATAAATTTTATATCATTTAGGAATTATCCTATGCATTATGTCATGCTAATGATTTGGTTTAAAAGTATAGGCCAAAGCAAATTTGATGGGAATAAAGCTAAGATACAATGAATAACCCCTGTTGCCATGGAGATTAAACAACAATAAATATGAAAAAAAAATTGGCATTAATTAAGATTGATCTTATGTACATGACACATATCCCGGAGATAACTCCAATATCCTTGATAAATACGCTATTGGCACTTGAACATAGTTTATTCTAAATGTCATCAGCATTCGTAGGCCTATTGTACTACATCACTAGCAGCATCTACACTGCAACAACTAGGGCTGTTTGAATGCTCTGTTTCCATTTTCTTTCAATTCAATTCAGATTTAGCACTTGCTTACTTCCGCTACTCAAAAGAGCTTTGTCTTTTTTCTTAAGGCTTTCTTTGAACTTCAGCATTTAAATCCATTTTGCCTCTGTCTATCAAAGCCATTTTGATGTTGTTTTCATAATGCTAAATTGGGATTGTAATTTTTTTTTCTAAATGTTTCTCCATTTAATACAGAGAGCAGTTCCCTGTATATTCTGCCGTTGGTTGTATTACATATAGGCGAAGGGCAATTTAGTTTGACCGAGATACCATGCAAAGCAGATGTGTTCCGAGACTCATAATTAATGGATCCGTAATATACACTAACAGCAATCATCCCCAACGTTATGGTATCTTTAATTCATACGCTCAGAAGAAACAGTGTAAAGAGAATTTAATGAAAAAAAAACCCCCAAAAAATGCAGCTGTCGTCTTTTTTTTAAATCTAACAATCAGATTATGAACCGCTTACTTGAAGTATCATTAATCAATATTTTAAAAAATCTAATGAGACTGAAAATTAATAGCCTTTATCAAAAGTTGAAACATCCAGATAATTACTAAGTCAAGTCAATTTCATAATCAATAATTTCACACTCAAATTTCAAAGATTTATGTGTTGAAAGGTTCAAAAGGTAGGATATACGTGAACAGGTAACAATTGTTAAAGAATTTTTTAGCCCCTTTAAATGTGACGACTAATATGAGTTACGAATGACTAATACGAAAATACAAGAGCCTTTAGGAAATTGAAAATTTGTTCTTATTATGGTGACATCATGGTCATTTACATACAATGAGGAATAATCTCAAGTTTAGTTGGCGAACTATTTCTCAAGACAATCATAGGTACCAAAAATTAAGCACATGTCTCCAAAGGGAGATTACACAACTAAGATACCGATGAATGAATGATTCGCGCTTAGTATAAGCGACAGTAACTACCGCAGCCCTTTAGAGTTCGGGGAATAAAATGATAGCAAGTGGGTGGTGGATCTTCTGACTATAATACCTTGTCTATGGACGTAAGTCTCAAATGTAATAACACCGCAAATTAGCCATCTATTGTGATGTCCATTTCCTCTAAACTGATTCCTTACATGTACAACAGCAACATACTATATCCCTTAGGACTTCAGATTTATTTAAAACTTGGTATTATTATATTTTCAAACTGGGTACTCTAATGCTTTATTTAGAAATAATATTTATGTAATAGAAACCAATATGTTTATATAAATTTCTATGGGGTTTTTTTAGTTTATTTTAAACACTAATAAAAAACAGTCAAAGAAACAATTTTTTAAATGTATATCTTCTCATTTCAGAAAGAAAGAATTATTTAAATGTATATCTTCTCATTTTTAGAATGGTTAACACCTTATTATTCCGTCAAGTGACTCGATTAAAAAAACATTGCAAGGATTATTTTCAATAATGATGATGGGTTCATTGCATAGATTTCATAGAAACTTCAAATATATTCACCTACAAAATGGCAGCCCAAAATGTAAGACTGTAATTCCAACAATTGGTATGACAAGACACCATCATGCCTATATATGGCAGCAAATCACACAAAGCTTAGTATTGTAGACAATGCTCTAATATGGAGCTTTTCAGATGGTCAACAAATGACCAATCAAAAGCGGGCCAGGAATATGCCCTTGTACACAAAACATCACTAATTTTCATGATAATAAGAACAATTAAATATCCAATATAAACCAAAAATAGCCAAGACAATTATCCTTTTCATTGAAGTATATTCATACACTTAATCAGTATTGAAGGATAGCATGATAAAAGATGGTTTTAATCGATATTTCTGTTCATATTTGTGTTCGATTTGCTGATGCATCAGAGTTGGTTAATCACATCCTGGATTAAAGAAGTCACAGGCATATATGCTCCCAGCTGGATTGTTTGTCTTAAGTGATTTTTGGTGAGGGGTAGTAAGCATAAAACGAAAAAATATATCTTTTGAAATTGGTGATGGTAAATGGAAAATCTAGATCTAAAAGTCCTAGAGACTACTTAAGTAAAAGGGCTTCGGGGCTACTAGCTGGGAAGTGATTGTATTACGAACTGCATCAGGTTTTTTCAAAAATTATGAGAGTAGAACATTAGATCTAGAAATTTTAGTAATATTAGAGGTATTAATGCTTTTGCTGACCTGATTTTATGCAAATTTATATAAATTAGTCTATATTATTTCATATATTTTTTTTTTAAACAAAATCAGGTACTATATACAAACTGAGGATATCCATACAATATTACAGTTTAAAATATTGGAATTAGAATTGTAATGAATTATGCCTCAGAGGAAAAATTTAAATAATAATAATTAAAATTCATTCACTAAGTTGTGTTGAAAATATGGAAGACTAGAAAAATCTGGGATTTTACGAGTCCTGGGATTAGCACACTAAGCTAATAACTGTTACATGCAATAAAAGAAAGAGAAATTAATTACTTTGGGCACATAATAAGAAACAGATTTCAAAGAGGGAAAATTAGATGGAAAAACAGGGAGAAGGCGGCCAAGGACAGGCAGGATGAGTAACATCAAAGATTGGCCAAAGTTGTAGTACGGGAAATGTACGGCAAAGGCAAGAGACAGAGGCGGATGGAAATCCATGGTCATCGAACCGCTGAGAGAAGATGCCTATGCAAGTGACAAGTAATAACAACATAAACAATGCTTAATTAGATTACAAAAATAGATAATCAAATTATCTAAAGGATAAACATTATAAAGATACTGATCAATTGAAACAAATTGTAGCTCATAAACTGATACGAATACGATAATAGCATTTTAGTAAAAAGGGGTGAAGTATAGGCAAATCAAGGAGGTATAAAGATTTCTTTATACATCATCCTTGAGTAGATGAGTTAGCCAATCTAATACCCAATTCAAACAAAAAAAATATGTTACATGGGATGTGTGCTAATTTTACATGTACTTCCCGAGATATTCCTTCTGATATAGCAGTTATCTTCACACAACTGAATTCAAAGCCTGCTAAAAGTCGGTGTAATTGATGAGCAGACAGGGAAGATACGTGCGACGCCACAGTGCATGATAATATCTCAAAATTTTTGATTATACACCTGGGAATATTTTTGTTGTTTTCCCTTTTACACTAATAAATTATTATGAGTATAATTTTTTCTTGAAATTATTTCGAACTACACAATAATATTTTAGATAATTGAGGCTTGCCATCCCAAAAACCAGCACACTGTTGCAGATTATTAATTAGCATAACAATTAGCATAATGATAATAATTAGCATAATAATGTAGCAGTATTGTACACTTTAGTACAGAGAATAAATACTCATAACTTCAGCAACTAAAAGTTGATTCTAGTAAATGACTCATCATTTTAAAGCTTATAATGTAAGAATAAGTAAATTTTCATTTTTTTTGTCAAGGATGCTGGTTTTAGGATGGCAAACCTCAATTATTATATTAAATTAAAATTGTTAATTTACACTTTAAAACACACCTCTGCATACCATACTTACACACATATTCCCACTGTTATTGAACTAGAAAGCTGTTTAGCATGAAGAAATCAATTCAAAAAGGCAATTAATTCTGTTTTCGTTCAAGCTGCTATTTATAAGAAACTTAATCTAAATATATTATGCAACATGCATGTCGAACGTGTGAAAATTCAATAATATATCTTGAAAATGTAAAAATATATTTCAATGTTTTAAGTAACAGAATATTCAGTCCATAAACTTGCTTATGAATCTATTTCATTTACATATTTTGGTGAATCAAGCCAAGACTGAAAGTAGACCATGTTGGTATCCAAAGCGAAAATTCATTTATCAGACACTGACGTACGTGAAGCTACACTTTTACTAAAGCTGATACTATGGTGACGATGGACTTTGGGAATGATACAGACATTTGTGCTTGCAGGAATCAAGAGTTTTAAAGAAGATCCGCATAGCAACCTTCAAATATATTTTTAATTCATTCCAATCCAACAGCAATCATAAATCACTTGTTAGATCGGATATACACTTTTCATCTATGATGACTTGTTTCTCTCTAACCAATGATATCACTTTGCAATGAATGACATCTGTTCAAATAACT